GTAATACTGTTACCACCCATGTCAATATTACCTGTCATACTAAAGCCACTACTACTAATTGAGCTTCCACTGACGTGATCAGTGACCCATTTTTTTGACACAGCTGAATTATCAGTAGTTGGAGCACCTAATTTTATTATTTCATTATTACCCATATCAAGGTCATCAGATAGGGTCAGTCCACTGTAAGTCTCACGCTTTCTTCTACCACCGCTAATTTTATCTTCCACCCACTTTTTTGAAACAGCTTCATTATCAATCCTGGGGTCAGGTAGTCCGAAAAGTCTGTATCCAGCCATTGATATATCAGCCAACATACGACCTCCAAGATTAACAAAATTATTATCAATGGCCCACTTTTTTGTTACAGCAGACTGATCGGTAGTTGGATCCTTAAGATTTACTATTTCATGTTCACCCATTTTAAGATTACCAGTCATTGTATTTAAACCGTTACGATGAACGTAATAAGCCAAGTTTTTTTCTAGAAAAGCTTTTCTTATAAGACCACTAGAAGAAGAGGCATCTTTACTTGTATGTGGAACTTCGTCAAAAAGAGCACTACCACGGATAAACTGATTATTACCACCAGACAGCTTAAGAAAGTTGCTAGCGCTTGAATTAAGCCATCCCTTGCTAACAGCAGACTTATTATCTGTTGGGTCAGCTAAGTTTTTAATTTCATGATTTTTCATGTCAATGTTTCCAGCCATTGTGAAACCATTACTACGAAACGAGCCTCCACCAACAATATTATTAACCCATAACTTAGAAACGGCAGATGTTTCATATGTAGGCTCACCTAGGCCTAAAATCTGATGTCCTTCCATATGGATACCACCAGTCATAAAACCACCTCCCTTCGTAAGGAAAGATTTTGAGTCTACCCAGTTTTTTGACACAGCAGACTTGTTGTCTGTTGGATCAGCTAAGTTTTTAATCTCGTGGTCCTTCATGTTAATATCACCAGCAATATCAAGTCCAGATACAGGTTTATTTAACATTCCAACTACCCAGTCCTTATTAACAGCAGACTTTCCAGTAGTGGGATCACCTAAAGTCTTTATCTCATTGGTTGACATATTAAGATCATTCGTAAGGATAAGACCAGGTAAACTTACACGACTACCTTCAACCCAACTCTTACTAGCAGCGTCACCTGGATTAGTAGGATTATCAAGATTAGTTATCTTATTACCTCCCATGTTAATATCCCCAGTCATTGTAAACCCTGCTGGTTGAATTGTAATGGCAGCCTGTTTAGTGATCTCATCATCCACCCACTTTTTTGCGACCGCAGATGTATCATCTGTTGGTGCACCTAAACCCTTCACCTCATTACCGTCCATCTCAATGTCACCCTTCATGGTAAATCCGTTTTTATCAAACACACTACCAGTTGTTGGGTCAATATTATTTACTCCTTTAATATATCCCTTATAGAGAGCCATTTTTATAACATACATAATGTTTTACAGAACTGTTCTCAATATAAGAAACATAGCGACAGACCCAATACCAAGTCCAGCAAGAGTACCATCATACGTACCAGTCGCGATGGGAACAACCTGAGGTGTAACACTTACTGGACGCTGAACTTTTACATTTTTACTAAGAGTATCAAGGTGGTGAACTGGTGTGCTATCTTGATGTAGTTTCTTTGAAGGATCAGCTTTTTTAACACCAACATAGTTTACTTTAGTATTTACACCAAATTTGACACTGGAGTCAGGTTTAAGTAGAATATTATTATAACCAGGAATGGGATCCTTTAAAATTACCAGGTTTGATGGAAATAGTATAATGTCAGGATTTATTGCTGTATTTACTATTACATTAGTATCTCTAATCGCTGTTCTCATATTAGCAATTCCAACTGAAATATCAGTTTGAACTACAACATCTTCTACAAGTTTGCGGAATCCTTTTTGGGACAGTAAAGATGAGGTTCCACGGTTTACTATAGCCCAGCGAGTATTAGCTTGAGCTCCAAGGGCGCAGTATACATAACACTGCAGACTTTCCTGTATAAGGGAAGTATCAACAAGGCCAGCACTTTTATTTGCATAATACCTCATATAGTCATCTAGGCTAGCAAGGGAGGACTTTTTTGTAAGCTCATCATAGCTAATCCCAACTATTCTTCCTGATGCATTTTTAGCATACCTAACATTTCTAACAGTCCTATGCTCATTTCTGAACCTCCTATACACAATTCCAATAGATGCTCTACTATCACTAAACTTATTAACCTCCCACTGACCCTTAACAGGAATGTTACCAGATATTACTTTCAGTCTACTGGAGTACTGCTGGAGTAGGTCAGGATTTTTAATAAACCTTCTAACCCATAAGTACACATGAAAGTTCATAATGGATGTGATAATAGGATTTACATCATCATGGGGGCTTGTATGATAAGTAGAGACCCCACATAGGTACGTAGAAATATAAGTTCCACATATTGCAGCATAATACGCTAACTCTCTATTAAACTTTGGTGTAACATTATCAGTACTAATAAAATCACTAATCTTAGGAAGGTTACTATAGAAAAACTCACTGTTACTAACATAAACCTTAAAGTTGGAGATAGGATTAGTTTTTGTAATAGGAGGATACTTTCCAATAACAGGATCACCTTCAGTAAAAGTTATCTCCTGAACTATACCACCACTGGACCACATTGAAGGCCACTTTCCCGTTACTTTTTGTTGGTTAGTTGTTGTTTTAGGTTGAACTTCCTTCATACTAGTGAGATAAGATGTGAATTCCTTATCCTTCTTGAAACCGTCATATCTAATATCATATGAAGATATACCATCTAAATCCACAAACCATGTAACAACTCCAATATCACCACTACTAGTAGTCCTTGCTTCAAACCTAAACCTATTCATGTCAGCGTAAGGATATTTTTTAATAAATCTAGCCCTCTCAGCATTCTCTGCATTTTTTCCAGCAACGGGATCAACATAGCTGTCATTATTATTTCCATACTTCTTTTCATAGTCCTGATACGAGCGATACGGTGACTTACCAACTTGACCTCCACCTAGTCTCATTCTTAATAACCTAACGTATGTTATTAAGATGAAGTTCACAATTTTACTCCAGAGCTCGCACACTATTGTATCACTACAAAACTCAGTTCTAACAAGCAATTATAAATCAGTCTTTGTGAAGAGAGTATCAGTTTTCTGGGAGTACTTCAACATAAGGGAACCAACAACTATTCTCAAAGTGAAAACAGATGATGGAGAATCTGATGTAATTGTTAACAAGGGTTACTACACATTTGACAGTATGAAGAAGTTACTTGAAAGACATGGTGTTAAGCTAACCTACTTTTCTGAAACTGCAGGATGTCAAATAGAAGCAGTAAAACAAGATATCACAATAGAAACACGATTACTGACTATGCTAGGTTTTAATAGATTTTTAAATCCTATGATCCTACTAAAAGGGAGGAGTTTGACAAGTGATAGTAAAGTTGACTTTAATAACGGTCTACGATGTGTAAATATACACTGCAATCTAGTAAGTAACAGTTTTAACGTTAACCCTTGGGGAAGACCCAGCGATGTAATAACAAGTGTTACAGTTCCAACTGACAGACCATTATTAGGCTCAGTAGTTAGTTACATTGATGTTGAAAGTAGGATTTCAGTTATCAAGGGTTCTTTCTCAGAACTTATATTCCACATGACAGATCAAGATGGGAAACCTATTGATATAGGTGAAGTATGAGTAGTTAGCTTACAGATACTGAGATGTACCTTGAGTAGTTAGCTTACGAGATATTATACTACAATCCTAAGACTGGATTCCAAACACCAGAGAAACTATATCTGAGAGCAGTATCAGACGGACTTAAAGTAACCAGAAACCAGGTCTGAGATGTACCTTGAGTAGTTAGCTTACGAGATATTTACTACAATCCTAAGACTGGATTCCAAACACCAGAGAAACTATATCTGAGAGCAGTATCAGACGGACTTAAAGTAACCAGAAACCAGGTCAAGAAGTGGATAAACGAGCAAGACACATACACTAGGTACAGACAAGTATTTAGGAAACATAAGTTCAGACAGACGTACGTCCAAACTTTAGGTGAACAGTTACAAATGGATTTAGTTGATATGACAAAATATGACGACAAAAACAAGGGATACCGATGGATTCTCACATCAATCGAAATACTAAGTAGGTACGCATTCACAGTACCAGTGTATAGGAAAAACACGACATCAATGAAGGACGCCGTCAGTAACATTTTAGAGCAATTTAATAATCGTTTTGGTAAATACCCAAAATTCGCCCAGTTTGATCAAGGCACAGAGTTTTACAACAAAGATGTAAAGTCATTGCTTAATAAACATAACATTGAGTTTTTCTCTACTTACTCAGACAAAAAGGCCGCAGTTGTGGAAAGATTTAACAGAACATTGAAAGCACTAATGTGGAAGTACTTTTACAGTGCCAGTACATATAAATGGTTGGACGTCCTTCAAGACTTAACTGATAATTACAATAGTTCAGTGAACAGATCAATTAAAACAACACCAGACAGTGTAAATGAGTCCAATTGGACTGAAGTATGGAAGACACTTTTTAGTCACAATTTAGGCAAGCTGTCAGAACCAAAGTTTGCTGTCGGAGAAAGTGTTAGAATTTCAAAGTACAAATCAGTGTTCACAAAAGGGTACGAAGCAAACTTCACAGAGGAGTTGTTCACTGTGACGGAAGTGTATCACGGCCATCCAAACACGTACGCAATAAAAGACAGTGCTGATGAACCAATAATTGGCAGATTCTATGAACAAGAACTGTATAGTGCTGAAGGAAGAGAACCTGATTTCAGAATAGAGAAAGTACTAAGAAGAAGAACATTGAAGGGGTAAAAAGATGGCTCTCATTAAGTGGTTAGGTTATGATGACAAATTTAACAGTTGGATACCAGCTGGAGACATCAAGTCCCTAACATAAGTTAAAGTATTATGGTGGACTTCAATGACTACAACGACATTGAGTTAGAGGAGACAGAAAAAACGTATCCTCAATATGACGACCTCAATTATGATGACCTAACGACAGCTTTTAGTAGGTTAGATACAAGGGTGAGGGGAGAGGCTATGTATGGTGATGACCCTATAGTAATAACCAATCTTAAAAGTGAACTGGACTATGTAAAGAATCTTATGGAGAGACATGCAATAGCAGAAACAACTTTCACCGAAGGAAATGACGATACAGTGAACATTTCAGGACCATCAGGAAGTACAACCGTCCCAGGGGTAGATTTTGTGGAAGACCCAAACAATGTACTTCCTGATGTGCTAGATGCATTCAACGAATCATTTGACGCTGACTGGGATGAAATAGAAGCCCGCCTAGAGAGACTAAATAAGATTTCAACAGCAAATAAAAAGAGAGATTTCGAAAACCAAGTAGAGCGTGTTCAAGCTGTCGCGAGAGTTATCAAGGGTAAGGAGGGACTAATACTAGACCCTAAGAATAAATACGTCAGGGAACTCATCAAGAGATCATCTGTAAGAACACTCAAGGATGGCACAGAGGTGTTGGTATTTAGAAGTGAACAAGGTATTGACAAAAGTGGCACACAAATAATGAAACGTGGTAAGACCGGTAAACCCGTGTACTCTAAGAACTCCATTGCATTAAGAGAATATAAGGACCTTCTAAAGAAAATAAAAGAGGTACCTATGAATCCCGACAACATAATTGGAAGTGATGAATCAATTTACAAGGATACCAGAGAAGAGCCGCAATTTGATGAAAGTAGTGAGGAATACGCTGACCGTAAGAACATAGAGTTAATAGATATAAGTGCACAACTAGGAGATCTTCCAGGGCTAACAATGCAGGAAAACAATGAACTGAGAGGTGTTCTTAACCCACCTGATGGATCAAGCATAGAAGGCAGAACAGGTCCCAATGGCGCGTTACAAATTCAGGCTGACTACTTTAATGAAGCTATTGGTGAAACCGTGGAACGCGCCACATCTGCGGAAGGTACAACTGAGTATAATTCCCTCCTAGAAAGAATTGACAGTTTGAAGGAAGCCAGGGATAGGACACTAGAGCAGAGAACTGTAGAGGAAGCAAGAGAGGCACAGTTGGAAGATATTTCTAGATTACGTAGATTTATAGACTGGGTAGGAAAGGAAAAAGTGGGACTTGTAGGGATAGCAGTGTCAACAGCTAGTTTAATTACAGCCTTATTAATCCATGCTAGGGGAGCCATTGTGAAGACAGCAAAGGCCACTGGTAAAGTAGCAAAAGCATTAGCAAATTTAGCAAAGAAAGCAGGACCAATTCTAGTTCCAATCCTGAACACCATTGCAACGGCGCTGTCGTGGGGAGCCAAAGGAATTGCTTGGTTAGCGTCACACTTATGGGTACTAGCTATAGCTGCAGCCTTAATGGTATACAACTATTACACAAAGTAAATTAACAATGGAGGAATACGATAACCGGAGAACGGAGGAGTTGAATGAAAAGTATCCGAACTACGAAGAAACTCCAGATAGCGAATTACCGTACCTTGATAATGATCTTAGGGAAAGTGAAACTCCTGAGGAGACCCAGGAAATTAATTACGTACAGGACCTTACGCGAGAGCAATTAGCTGAGAAATTCCCTGACCTATCTAATCTGTCATACGATGATCTAATGGATAGAGGAGACAGACTGTTAAATGAATTAATACTATCCGATTTGGATGAACACAGTTTCAAAGAAAAGTCGGAAGAACTGAGATACGTCAGAATGCTATCAAATGATTACCAAAGAGAGTCAAACTTAAATAAACTTCTCAACTTAAGAGACAAAGTGAAAAAGAGGGATCTCATTAAACGGGATGATCGTAGGAGACTGCAGAGGCTCAGGTTATGGGCAAGGGAGAATGCAGGCATCTTATCAGCTGTTCTAATTTCCTCATCAGCTGTAATCATAGGACTGGTAGCATCAACTAGAAACATAATGTGGAAAGTAGGTGACACAACAGAAAAGCTCGATAAGCGGATTAGTGAGTTGGTAAACAACCGAATAGAACTACCACCTATATTCCAGAAGATAGCCGGTGGAGTAGAGTTAGCAGCGGATAATATATGGATAATCATTGTTTGTGCAGCAGTAGTTTTACTATACAAATACAACTAAACATTACATATTGTATACAAGTATGAATACCACAGAAAGAGAACTCCAACCTGGCTTCAGGAGGAGCCGTATGACATCCGTAAAAGGTCCCAGAACTAGAAGTGTTGTAACATTTAATCCAACAACTATTAGCCCAGGTGAAGAGCTGTACATTAACATCCCTAAACTAAAGCCTGACTCTTGTTTAGTTCCAGGATCACTTGCACTATTATTTGACTTCAAAAATTCCAATACAAAAAGCCGATTTAATAATAACCTGGCTAAGTTGATAGCTAAACGTCTTCAGATTAAAGTAGCAGGTGAAACAGCTTATGACTGTTCAGGAGAGAGTTTGTACGAAATATACAAAGATCTATGGCTAACACTAGGTGACAGAAATAAGATGACAGAACAGGGCCTTGCAAGTGAGAATCTCAGGAAGTTAATATCAGGTGATGACTCGGGAGTAAAAGTAGGTGATGCTAGTAAAGTAGCAGATGCACTTCTCCACAGTGTGTACGGTTCCAAGCTGAGAAAACCAATTGATAAAATAATTGCAGACCATGGACTCTACACACCGTTCTTCATGAATAACAATCCTATGTACATCCTCACACTCCCACAATCAGATGAGATTATGACTGCTCAAGGAGGTGAAGCTAAGGGTAATTATAAACTTGATAATCTTGAGTTAGAATATGAGACCATTGAGAATGACACCCTTGCGAGTGAAGTATCAAGGATGTATTCAACAGGTCGCTCACTGTCATACAAACACGTAACTCTTATGCGTACAAGTAATTGGGACAAAGATCTTACCATTGTCAAAGAAAACATTAATATCCCCAGGAAGAGCATGTCAGCAATTGTCCTCCTATTTACCAGTAGAGTGAGGACTGACAGTGAAGAATATATTTACCCAAACATTGATAAAGTGAACCTGACCATTGAAGGTGTGCCCAATGCAGTTTTTTCCCAAGGACTTCATAAAAATAGGTTCTTCGAAGAGGCAAAAAGATTCTTCTGCCCTATGTGTGAAAAATCCATGGCTGACGCCCAATGCAGTTTTTTCCCAAGGACTTCATAAAAATAGGTTCTTCGAAGAGGCAAAAAGATTCTTCTGCCCTATGTGTGAAAAATCCATGGCTGACGAATTTATGTCCATCAGCAAGTTCTTCACCAATGGTTTCGCTCTAGTAATCGATCTTAGGTCAACACAAGATGATACCACTGGTGGAGGTAAGAAGATTGTTAACACACAGTCGGGAGTACTCCTGGAAATCAAAAAGAGAGCCACAACAGCTGACGTTCAATGCAACATTTTTATTGTATCAGATGCTCTCCTTAACTTTGCCAACAGAGATCTATCAAGTATTCAATACTAATGGTAAAGCATAGAGATGCAACCATTTAACATGCTCATAGTAGGAATGACTGGAAGCGGAAAGACTCAGTTCCTACTTAATATGTTAGAAACAGAGTACAATAGAGTTTTCGATTATATTGTTATTATATGTCCAACCATAGAGTGGAATATGACTTACATTAATTGGACTCATATTAGTGACCACAGAGTTATACAAATTCCATGCTCACAAGAAATGATCGATCTTGTTCTCAAGGCAGTGTCCACCATATTCCGCGGTACTCAGACTCTCATTATAGTGGACGATTGTGCGGCAAGTCAAGATGTAAAGAAAAGAGTCTCAGAACTGGTGCGCTTGGCATTCTCAGCAAGACATTACAACTTATCTGTCATTGTACTTACCCAACAATTGTCCTCAGTAGCAAAGCCCTTCAGGGAGAACATTTCCAGGTTAGTTACATTCTACAACCCTAGTCGCAGGGATATGAAGGTGATAACAGATGATTACCTAAGTGGCGTTCCTCAGGAGACAATTACAGAGATTACGAAGATATTAAAAGATGAGAAGTTCACCGCACTGGACGTACTACTTATTCACCCTTACACTTACACTGTTAAACTAAACACCGCGTAGAATATAGATGATGGGAACTGAATCTGATGAAGAAATATTTGAGGCTGTAAGAGAAGTAGAGGAGGCCGCAAAGGTGCCGCAGAAAAAAGCAAGAAAAACTAAGTCTACCGCAGATAAGTCGCAAACTGAACACAAAAGGGACAAACTTATAGAGCTATCGAGGGACGGTATAATAGAGAAGCCCGCAAGTTTTATAAGAAAGTCTAACAAGGATGTTGTAGATAGACTATACCATGAGTACGAAAGTCAGAGGATGTCATGTGCAAGTGACTTCTTATCAACGCTTATTATTTCAAAGTTTGCTTCTGTATTAGGAAGTTTCGGTGCAGTGGAATCTTCAGAAAAACTGTCAGAGGAACTACTTAGTGACAAGCTTCTGAAGGACGACGTATCATACCTAACCAGAACGATATCCCCCAACATCCCATTCATAGGCCTCATATCTGGTGGCTGTACAACAGCTAAACATGTTGTTGCCCATAAGTGGAATAAGAAGGAAGTGTCCGAGGAAGCTAAACATATGATATTACATACAGAAGAATGTCGAACTACGACTGGGACGGAACAAAATTCGGGTCAATTATTGACGAGTTGATTGAGAAAACTGACAGGAACAAGGAACAGCTAGACAAAATTCAGGCAACCCTGGATTCACTAGAGAGCGATCATAATGCCCTTAAAAACAAAATAGTAGGTCCACTACAATATGAATTTGAAGCTTTTAAAATTGACACAATAAAAACAGTTGTAAAGATATACAAGAATCTAAATGAAAAATAATTTTTTGTAATAGGAAGTATACAACTGTGGGAAGCAGCTGGGCGGGCTAGGGGAATGCTGCTCCATAAATTGGTGAATAAAATAGCCCAAAAAAGTTTTACACATATAGTATAGAGAAGATGGAGAAATTATTCAGGAACCAAAAGTTGAATGTTAGCGTAAGAATTGTTAAGAGTGATGAGGAGGTACTGTTTTACGCAAAAGATGTGGCGGAATCTCTAGGGTACTCAAACCCTCAAAAAGCTATCAGAGACAACGTTTGGAAGTCAAATAAGGCAACGGTGAGAGACTTCCAAAGGGTACCCAGCCAGTTCACCTTGGAAAAATGTCACCCACAAACAATTTTACTATATGAACCAGGATTATACCAATTAATTTTCAACTCGAGACTTCCAATAGCAGAGGCCTTTCAGGACTGGGTATTCACTGAGGTGCTTCCATCTATCCGTAAAACAGGCTCATACAAATTACCAGAATCTGAGCCGCTTTACTGTAATCAGATGAGGTTAATTAACGAAACGGACCTTCATTATGCTGTTGTAGAATATCTTAAAAAGTACCATCCAAAGGCTCTAATTTTACCGGGACTAGGAGAGTACCAGAATACATCACAAAAGAGATGTGACGCCTGGAAAAAAGGATATTTAGGTGGACAGCCTGATATCACAATAGTAACTCCAAGTAATGGTTTTAATGGATTCGCAATAGAACTTAAGACACCAAAGGGCACAGGCGAAGTCAGAAATAACCAGGTAGCTTGGATAAGTGAGTTAGGTAAAATTGGATTCCAAACATTAATATCTAATGATTACACAAGAATAGTGTTAGATATAGATGAGTACTTTAGGGTTGATAAGACAAAGAAACTCCTAAAGGAAATAAAGAATCTTAAGATAAAGTGTAAGACTCTGAAGGCTAGTCGATGTGAGAAAGTTGCAATTCAAAGAATTGGTTACACAGTAGGTAAGTACTAGAGTGCAAGTGCCTGGCGAGTACTGTCGGGTATTTTCTAAGCAGTTCCATCGTACTGCTAAGTAAATTTGAGACATCTCACAAGTAAATTTAAGTTATCTCACCAGTTATCTCACCAGTAGATTTAAGTTATCTTACCAGTTATCTTGCAAGCAAGTTTAAGTTATCTTGCAAGTAAAATTCAAGATATCTCATAAGATGAAACCCAGTTAAACCTAAGGTATCTTACAAGTAGAATGGAAGATAAACCTGAGCAAATTCAAGTACCAGTAACAAGCGAAAAGAAGAAGGACCCAAAGAGGGTAGCTGCAGGGAAACGACTAGCTGCAATCAGTAAAATAGCAAAGGAGAGGAAAAAGAAACTGGCTGAACCTAACGAGTCACCTAGTAATGACAGTATGATTACCTACATAGGAGTGGCCATTGCATTGATATCTCTTGTGCTAGCATATAAAACACATCAGAGGGAAACTAAGGAACTAAAACCTGAGTTCATCCCTAAAACTGTAGAAGTAACTAAGAAAGCTGATGAGTCCAAGTTAGATTCACTTGAATGATACATTAAACATGTTATATATTATAGCAAGATGAGTAAAGAATCAAAGATGACTATGGAAGTGTACAATGCAGTGTTACTTACAGCAGGAGCAGTTGGTATATCAATGGCATCAAAGAAACTACTGAAAGAACCATTAGGTACCCCAGAGAATGTAAAAGGAATGGCGAAGTTAGCTATTTCAGTTAGTCTTTCATCTCTACTGGTCTCTTACCTGAAAGAAAAGAAGTATCTACCAGATGATCCATTCAAAACCTAGGTAAGACTATACAATGGCGGGAGCAGTAGCAGGAGGACTCTTTAACGCATTTGCATTTGCGGGAGCAGGATACTTATTTAAGATGTTTGACAAGAATGGATACGCTGAGGAAGCTTATAGACATAACAAAGCAATGGAGAATCTTACAGCTGAAAGAGAGAAGTACCTTGAAGAGGTCACTGATAGGAGAAATAGGATTGCTCAGCTAAAGTCAGAACTATCTGAGGCAAATAGGGATATTAAGTCAACGAACCAGTCATTAGAACTCGTTAGAAGAATCAATGAGTTAACGCGTAAGCCTATGCCAAGTAAGCCGCAATTAAGTAATCACTACAAACCTAGCTCTGAGATGGAAGAATATATGGCACTATTTGGTTTAATCACAGGTGGGGTGGTTGGAGGGGCAGCTTATTTAATTCTATAGAAAATGCCACAAAAATTTTCACATATATAGTATAGGGAAATGGAATGGTTACAGATGGCAACACCTAAGGAGATAGCACATGTAGGTAAAACGGTAAATACACTGGAAGAGTTAGAAGCTGCTGTGACAAAGCATGCAGAGAGTAGAATAAAGATAAAACACACACATGATCCAGTATGTAGCGAATGTGGGAGTAAGTCTATTGTAATGATAGATGGAGCAGATACATGCACACAGTGTGGTACCAGTGACATGAATAACTTCTCATACTACGTTAGTTACAATCACAAGGACGACTATCTGAAAAAGAAGTCTTGCCATAATAGAGTCTGTTGGTTTGAGAGACACTTATTCGAACATGTTGCTTCTAGGGATAGGGACATCATAAGGGAGCAGTTCAGAAGCATCGTAAGATGTATACAAAGACTTAGACTGCAAAGGGGGCGCAGCATAGTTAGATACAAATTTTACCTACTGAGGATAGCCAGCATGAATGGTATCTCCCTGAAGAACCCTCCCGAGGATATTAAGACCCAAAGGATTGTGGACATCCTTGAGGATAGGTTGTATGGGAAAGTTTTTGTTGATCTTGGATGGAAACCTGAGAAGTGTGAATATTATAGTAACTGGAAAAGTAAAAACACTTAAAGAAATATTAATATAATAAATTAATTAATTAAACAATAAATTAAATCAAAAATAAAAACACTTAAAGATATACCGATATAATAAATTAATAAAATTAAAAATAAATTAAATTAAAAATAAATGCGAAATAAATTATTAATTAAATACCCGAATTTATTTTTACATATATAGTACACTTAAAGATATACCGATATAATAAATTAATAAAATTAAAAATAAATTAAATTAAAAATAAATTCGAAATAAATTATTAATTAAATACCCGAATTTATTTTTACATATATAGTATAGAGGAACTGACAGAAAAATATGGCGAGTTATTTTGATATGAACGAATTCAGCGTAGAATAGCTTATGGCTCTCAATAGTATCATAGATAGTGACAACGAGATCGATGAAAGAGTAGACAACATCATGGCCGACAAAAACTACAGTATTGCACCTGATGATAAGGGCAAAGATCCCTTTGAAGGAGAAAGACAATTCGTAGACGAAGTTGACCGTGATATGGAGGTAAAGAAACCTAGACGCCTTCCCTTGAACTATAAGGGAAGAAGAGGAATTATGCCCACATGGAAGTACTCTGAGAGGCAAAAGGCTAAGGCCTTACTTGTAGAGGAAGCATACCAAAATCTACTAGCAAGAGGCGTTCAGGGATTACCACCAACAATGGGAGGTAGATGGCGCACGGATGATCCTCAAGTAAATGAGGAAATCAAAAGGATTGAAAATGAAAGGAATCCTAAGATTAAGCATCCTAGAGGTAGACCACCAAAGGCAAAGGTTGATGCTGAAGTGAAGATTCCCAAAAAGAGAGGTAGACCACCAAAGGTAAAGTCTGATGCCGAAGTGAAGATTCCTAAGAAGAGAGGTAGACCAGCAAAGGCAAAGACTAATGTTAAGGTTAGAAAGCAAACTGTAGCCGAAAGATTCCTGAGCCAAAGGAAGGTAAAACTATCGGTACCAGCTGATAGTGTTATAACACCAACAGGTCCTGGTAAGTTCACAATTCACGTGGATCTTAATAAGAGACCCGTGAGGAAAGCTCCTGAGGTACCTAAGGGTGTAGCTCCATGGAGACCAATACCTAAGCCTAGAACAGTACTTCCTAAGGAAAGACCTGTACCGAAACCTAGAACTAAGCTTCCTAAGGAAAGACCAGTTCCTAAGCCTAGAACCATCAAAGTAGTGTCTCCTCCTAAGTTACGTAAGCCTGTAAGAGTGTCGAGGGAAGTCAAGGAGCAGCCTATAGTGGTTACACCAGAGGAACATGAAATCGATCCATTTGGAACAGACCTTGAAAAGCCATTCCACAGGAAAATCGAAACAGCCGCAAATGGAGCCGCCGTGACTTACTCGATAACTCCTCATTATATGGACCCCCTGAACCAGATGACTGCAAGTAGACAGGTAGTGAGAGGAATACTTGTGAACGAGTTGAAGAGAATGGGTGGGTTGAAGTACACAGAGACTCTGAAGGTGAGAATGTCAAAGGAAATTGGTGACAGGAAAACCAAGAAGGACTCAGTCTACTTCAAATCTAAGACTGGTACTGCAACTAACTTCGAGGATATTGAAAGTACTGCTGCTCAAAACCAACTAACAATATTGTCTAGAATTGAAACCTTCCAAAACTTAGGTTCAAATTGGATTATACTCAATATTGAGAGTCATTATGTAAACATTGCAATGTATAAACCATTAAGGGGTAGTTCATATATGAAACTTCCGCGGGACATTAGTAATCCAAAGTGTGGGCTCATCAATATGAAGAACAATGACAACCTGTGTTTTGTGTGGAGTCATGTAAGACATCTGAGACTTAAGGCTAGGAGAGCAACCACTATCACGCAAAAAGATAGGGAATTTATAACGAACCTGGACTATGACGGTATAGACTTCCCCGTGAAGATAAGTGACATCGATAAAATTGAGAGGAAAAATAGTATCAACATATCGGTGTTCGGTTATAGTGGTAAGAAACAGTTCTAGCCCATAAGGAACTCAAAGGCTAAACATGATGAGCATATGGAGCTTCTACTCCTGGGTGATAGTGAAGGTAACAACCATTACGTTCTCATAAAGGATGTAAACAGGATGCTTTTCAGTGTAAGTAAAAACACAAACAAGAAGCACTTCTGTCTACACTGTCTTCATAGTTGTGTGAGTGAAGAGGTACTGGAGAAGCATAAGGAAACATGTCTGGAGGTAAATGGAACTCAGGCCGTAAATCTTCCCAAGGAAGGTACAAAAATCAAGTTCAAAAACCACAGAAACTCAATGCCTGTGCCGTTTGTGATATACGCTGATTTTGAGTCAATACTAGTACCAGAGGAGAGAAAAGTGGAGTCAGAAAACCCTGAGGATAAAAGTAGTACAGATCTTTACCAGACACACAAGGCTTGTAGTTTTGGTTTGAAGACTGTCTGCCACTATGATGATAAGTACTCCGGTGAGTATAAGAGTTACGTTGGAGAGGATGCTGCATTGGTCTTCCTAAAGACTGTATTGAAAGAGTCCTTCAGATGTAGAGAGATGGTCAACAATATATTCAAGAAAAAGATGGTAATTACACCCAAACAGGAATTCGAATTTCAAGCTGCAAGAAACTGTTCAATATGTGGTAACGACCTTGGTGAGGATAGGGTAAGAGACCATGACCATGTAACAGGAATGTACCGTGGAGCTGCTCATAATATATGTAATCTGAAGTACAGAATTACATGGAAAGTGCCTGTGGTCTTCCATAATCTGAGAGGTTACGATAGTCATCTGATTATGCAGGAAATTGGTAAGTTTAAGATGGACATCAACATGATTCCAAACAACATGGAAAAATACATTTCATTCTCACTGGGTAAAAATCTGGTCTTCATAGACTCTATACAGTTTATGGCTTCTTCACTGGAAGCACTGGTAAGTAACCTTTCACCTGAGGACTTCAGGATAGTAGGTAAGAGGTGGAAGGGTGAGGACTTTAATCTAGTTACACAAAAGGGAGTGTTTCCACATGAGTTCCTCGATAACATTAACAAGCTTGATACTGAAGGTCTACCGAGTAAGGATAAGTTCTACTCATCACTGTATGAGTCAGAGGTGAAGGAAGAAGATTACCAAAGAGCTCAAAAAGTATGGGATCACTTCAAGATGAAAACCTTGAGAGACTACCACGATCTCTACCTGGAGACTGACGTTCTTCTGCTGGCTGATGTGTTTGAAAACTTCAGGAGAACATGTCTGGAAAGTTATGAACTTGACCCTGCACATTACATGTCAGCACCTGGTCTGAGTTGGGATGCTTTTCTAAAACAGTCAGGTGAAGAAATAGAACTTGTAAGTGATATGGATATGTTTCAGTTCTTCGAGAAGGGTATGAGAGGTGGTACAAGTTATATTGCCCATAGACACTCCACAGCTAATAATAAGTACATGGAGACGTACAACGAGTCGTCTGAGAACAAGTACTTGATGTACCTCGATGCTAACAATTTATATGGCTGGGCAATGTCACAATCACTCCCAAATGGAGAGTTCAAGTGGGTTGAGGAATTCGACGGTATGAATCTAGATGATTACCTTGAGGACAGCGAAAGAGGTATGGTTTTAGAGGTTGACCTGGAATATCCACAAGAACTTCACGATCTACATAACGGTTATCCTCTAGCACCAGAGAGTAAGGAAATTGATTCTTCCATGTTGTCAGATTATTCTAAAAGTATTGCTGAGAAATTCAAGCTGAAAATTGGAGGAGTAAAGAAACTTGTAACTTTACTAGGTCCGAAGAAGAACTACGTCTTACATGTACGTAATCTAAAACTGTACACGGACCTTGGGATGAAACTCACGAAGGTCCATAGAGCGGTTACGTTCAAGCAGTCTCCCTGGCTTAAGGACTATATAGACTTCAATACGAAGAAAAGGTCTGCAGCCCGTAACACGTTCGAAAAGAACTTCTTCAAGTTAATGAACAACTCGATCTATGGAAAGACTATGGAGAATCTTAGGAAAAGGGTTGATGTGAAATTAGTGTCCTCCAAAGATGACCTCCTAAAACTGACAGCATCACCGTGCTTCCAGTCACATCGAATCATGAATGAGAATCTTATAGTGGTAAAACGAATGAAAGAAGTTCTAATGCTAAATAAACCGTGTTACGTAGGAATGAGCATCTTAGACTTATCAAAGACTTTAATGTACGATTTTCACTACAACACCATCAAGAAGGAGTACGGTAATAATTCAAGGCTACTGTTCACTGATACTGACAGTCTAATGTATGAACTGAAGACGGATGATGTTTATGAGGACTTTAAGAAAATCGGTGAAAAGCAAAACTGTTGGGATAATTCAGATTATCCAAAAGATTCTCCATACTACTCAACTCACAACAAGAAGGTTATAGGTAAGTTTAAGGATGAAGCTGAAGGAGTACCTATAATTGAGTTTGTTGGGTTGAGGTCAAAAATGTATTCCTATGTAAAGGAAAACGGTGGAGGTGGAATGACTGCTAAAGGAGTTAAAAAGTATGTCATCAGAAACAAGCTCACTCACGAGAACTTTAAGAATGTAATTAATACGAAAGGTAGGATGAGACATAATATGAATACAATCAGGAGCATGAAGCATACAATTGGAACTTACGAATTGAAGAAGGTTACTCTGAGTTGCTTCGATGATAAAAGGTATCTTTTGGAGGATGGAGTTACCAGTTATGCTTACGGTAACAAGAATATAAAAAATAGTGACTGAGAAGTTCCCACAGAGTAGAAAGTAATAATCCTAAAGGGTAAATAAGCAGGAAGGGCCCCCTGCCTTGTGTACCCCCAAGGAGAGAATAAAAGATGTTGAAGAGGCTTTGGAGTAGGAAGGCTGGACGGTATTGGGAAAGTGTAGGGTAACCGTACTAGAGTCTCAGCTGAGATAAGTTAAATGAAAAAACAAGAATAGCAGTTTCACATTCCAATTAAATGTACTAACCATTAATTTTAATATAATAAAAATAAATACTTTTTAATAAAGATAAAAATCTAGTGGTCTAGAAAAATTGGATTAAATTTAGACCGGAAGTTCTATTTTTCTCTTGGGTCCTAAGCGGAGAGTTAGTGGTCTAGAAACCTCAGTTGCTATACTACTTGTCTTGGATAATGCTGATGTCAAGTGCCCATGTACAGAAGTTGTTGCTGAGTGGCATGACTTGTTAACCTATATCATCAATTACCTACAGCCAAACAAGCACAACTACAAGAAAACGTGGAAGTTTGTCTTTCTGTCATCCTATGCAAAATCAAAATGGAAGAACATCCTTACCTTAGTTGAATTGCTATTTTCTATCCCTGTGTCAAATGCAAAACTAGAACGCATGTTTTCAAATATGCAGAGAGCAAAAGTGGATTCAAGATGCTCTTTAGGTGAGCAAAGGCTGACTCACCTGCTAAGAATCGAAGAAGAAGGGCCAGAACTTGGTACCTTTGATGTTACCCCAGTAGTTGAACTATGGCTTAACAGCAAGGTTAGGAGACCTAACCAGAACAAAAGGAAGAAGTACAAGCAAAGAAAACAGAAATCAAAGAAATATTATGATAATGATAATTACACCAATCTCTTTTCTTTAATTGACAATACTGATAATAGTAGCACAGATGAATCAGATGATGTGATTGATGTCTCTGTTGAAGACATGGACTGAGATTCTTTGAGCACTATAGTTACTAGTATTTGGAGACTTGTGATATGTGTGGATAATGGATTATGGGTATTCAATATCACAATATGTGCCATGGCCCATTACAAGGCCCATTACATTATCAGGGACACATAACATATTGACATTATATATACATTCATCAAGTATGAGGTATTATACATTTATGTTCTAATTTTTGTTTCTTTCATTGGCATATTCACAGTAAAATAATAAAATATACTTTAAACAAATGAAGGGTCATCATGTAATAATATATCAAAATTACAGTGATTGTATATTAATAATTTAATATATTATAGTATATCATTGTAATTTTTTTATGTCAAGGACAAAATGTCCAGTGTCAGGCACCAACCAGTTAGTGCCTGACAAAATGTCAGGCACTCTTGGATATTTATTTTCAGGCTTGATGATGCGATCACTCAATGGGTTAACTGTGCACAGGATTGGAATTGAATTATATACTCCACTCATGACCTTCAAAATATTCTCTACTATTCAGTGGTCTAGTCGATATGTGATTGACTCATTTCTACAGCAAAGTATGTTCCTCGAATAGTTTGTGTATGTTACTCAATAGTTAAAGAGTCATTGTCAAGCACAATGCATTGTGCGCCCAAACCTGCTTGGCAATAATTTTAATGACGGAACAATAGATGTTTTGGTTTTCAATCCATATATTGCTACCATCCTATGGTTATACTTGCTCACTTTAACTTTGTTTGTTATACTAAAATTGCACCAAAGAAATGTTTATAATTGTCATTTGTTGCTATTTGTCACTTCTGAAGGTAAGACGTAAACAAATGCATTGTGGTTGACAATGACTCTTTAACATTGCCAAGTGTGAACAACAAGTGACAGAACTTTTGCTTCATATGATGACAATAAAGTTTTGAAAATTCAATGAGTATGGGGATTGACAAGTGAAAGTGACAGTTTACTAAATAGCCGGCTGCCTGCTGTATAGACACTTTGAATATTGTTTGCATGAAATGTTTATTTCCTGACTGCATAATTATCTGTTACACTCATAATCACATTATAAAATTAGTTAAATTTTCTCAGCAGCAGGAGGGGGACAGTTGCCGCAGCTGCGCTGTGTACAGCTGTGTTAGATGTGTATTATTTTCAACTATAAATCATCTTCCATTATTCAGTTCCTTTCAAGAAATACAAAATGTGAATCAAGTTTTTTCGCAGATACATGTACGCATTGCTTACCTATTTTTTAAATGATTTGGCGCGTAACGATGCATACATAGTTGAAATGTACTGTAATTGCATGCTTTCAATATTTACAAAATAAAATGTCAACCCATGGGAATTGTCCCATGGGAAAATTGAAATCCTGATTTTTTATCTCGCACACTAAAATTTGCCGAAAAATAACTGTATTTTTCTTGTGTTTCCTTCGCTGAAAGCTTTTTTACACTTTGTGCACTGTGTACAGCAATCGTATAAATAAATAAAATATGCGAGTTTAACAAAAAGTTGTAGAAGCCAATCTTTTTATTTTGAAAACATGGTTTTTCAAAAATTAAAAAGTAGTGGCTCCAACAATTTTTTAAATTAAAATAACTCTTATTTGAAATAAGCATACATTAGCTTCAATAAAAACGTTTCAAACAAATAAGTTTTAAAAATGAAAGATAAAAAAATTTGAGCACATTACTTTTTCCACTGCAGAAATTTTGACAAAAACAACATCTACTTTAAATAAACTTAACATTCAGGTTTAGCTGTAGTATATAATTGCAAGTACCCTGAGTGATAGATGTCATCTCGAAAACACCAAGGAGTTTAATATAAACGTTAATTTCCTGTATTCAAACAAACTGTTACTTTAAATTTTGCAAGGTTCAATTCCTTGAAAAGAGCAGTGATTCCACAGGACATGACAAGCAAGCACCAATTTGCAAATATACTGGCAAACTTCACAATTTCCATAGCAAAGTACGAAGAAATGTTTCAGACTGATAATGAAGAGTGGTTTGTTCTCAATCATTATCTTTTTCTAATGTGTTTGAAAGGCTTAAATTAACCTGTGCTTTTTCTGATTGTTTGTGACGATAAAAGAAAATAGATCATACTGCATATACCTTCTTTCTATGAAAAGGCTTTGTCAGAATATGCATGACCTATACTAGTTACAAAAATACTGTTTACCTTTTTCCCTCTACAGTGTAAATAAAATTGTTTCCGCTTATTTGACACACTAAGTTGAAAAGCTCTTCACAAGCAAAATCATCTGGCGTAAATAATAGTTTTTTAGCATTGCAGTTTAATGCTGCATCACTGATCGCATAAAAATATACCTAGCCTGGTAACTAACTAGAAAACCTCACGGGTAATTTAGTTACCAGGCCCAATCTTTATTGAACAGTATGTCAACTATTCATATTTATTAATTTACCTATTATTTAAGAATTAATTATTGATATTTGTAATTTTCAGAAAAGGCAAAATATATTTTATTATTATTATTATTATTTATATAACTATGCATCAACTAATGGTACAAATTGACTCCCTATTTTATGATTGTGTGAATGTCAAATACAGTACCACAAAAAAATGCAACACTTGCAAAGTTTACTTCAAAGCTTAATTGTACAATGCGCTTTTTTTCCAGCAACCAACATTTGTCAGATTTTTAAAATAGAGGGACAACTATTGGCGACAGGAGAGATGAGCTTGACCCAAGCAATTCTGCATCTTCGCCAATACAATTTGGGTGGAAGCTGACATTCACAAAGAAAAAAAGAAATCTTCTAAGAATCTTCTATATAACTTAATCCTTTTTTAACAGCGTTTTGCAACAATTTATTGGAACATATCATTTTACAATTTTATAAATTTAATTTTTGCTAACTGTCAAATAGTGAAATATTTAACAAATATAAAACATTTTCCGTGTTGATATACGGTTATATCAACACAAGTGGAATTGGGAAAACGAGAATTGCATGGAAACACGACACCCGAAGGGCGGAGTGTTTTCATACAATTTCGAGTTTTCCCAACTTCCACAAGTGCTGATATAACTATATATCAATACGGAAAAATGTTTTATATTTTTTTTATAGTATAGTAATGCCAAAAGCCCGAAGAATAAGAAAAAATTCCGTGTTTACAAGCGGCGGAAAATTTCCTGTATTGACATGGAGTTATATCAACACGGCTCTTAGCCAATCAGGGTTCAGAATTTACAAATGCTATATTATAATGTACATTGTAAACTCATTGCAGGTGACATGCACATTGTATACAAGCACTTTTCTTATGCTGTACTGACTCTGTTTTTCATGGGCTGTTGTAAAATTATTGTATCCATAATTATGCCAATTTGTTCTTATTTTCATAAAAGTCAATTACAACATCAATACTTATATAGTACAAGATATTTTTAATGTTATGTACTCAGGTGTGTGTTTTGATGTTATGTGTGCAGGTGAATATGTTTTTTCCCCCTGAGCCAACGGCATGAAGCGAGGGTACTAATTCCCCCCGGCTATTTACACCCGGGGAAACGAAACCATTAGCGAAGTCTAAAGTTCATCAATTATTGCGGGCGTAGGTCACTGTGCGTGTTTCGGTGGGTGGTCATCCTCACTGATCTCATAATATAGCGGACTGTCATGAATAGCCAACACTGATTGGTCCAATTTAAAATTGGCGTTATAACGGCTGCATGACGACAGCGAAATTGATTTGATGCTTTCTTGTGAATTTCAAAAGATTTTTGATGAAATAATTCTAAGGCAAAAGAATTGCTAAAAGAAGGGAGTAAATGTGCCGACGTTAACAAAGGTAAGTTTGTTTCAAATATTGATGCATTGTTTGCTTTTAATATACTGTAATTACTTTAAAAGCCGATCGTTGCGTATAAATATGAAACAAGACAGCGTATTATTTCAGTGTTTCTTTATTGATTACCCTTTTTATTATACTAAGCAAAGTTATTTGCATGTGAGAATTTGGAATCATTTTATTTCGAACCCAAAGTTTATTGATAAAGGCAGGTTAGTTCTATACTGTAAAAGAACACTTTAAAACGTTTTGCGAAGCGTTTGTAGTTGAATTTTACCTTAACTCATTAACGCCCAATGCGCCCGAATGCGCCCTGACGTGACACCTTAACTTGCGGGCATGACGACGACGGTTGTTTGCCGTTGTTGTCACTTCTCTCTGAAATGGCTTCCTTTGCGAGAAGTTCTAACGAAAACATAATTTAGCCGTCCTTTTGGGCCCATTGCTCGCTTATTTATCATGAAATCGCTTCACTAGAACATTTTTAATAATGTCTATGGGAAACTTTGTAATTTTATGAACTAAAAATTTATGGTTTTGAGGTGTTTATTTTATAAAATAGCATGCGCGACAAAATGGCACTAATGTGGTTTCTCATGTCTGACAAACAACCAAAGATGAAAGTTCTTATTTCACCCTTTTATAGCTATGTGGAATACCCGAATATTAGGTTATCATTTTCATGTGAGCATATAGATAACATTTCTACACAATAGTCCTTATGAAGGCTTATTTCAAACTAAAAAAAAGCGATTGTTTTTCAGAGCCAGACTTCAAAAGAGAATGTGTGTCTGACATTTTATAGCAGCCTACATTGGTGCACAAAATAATTTTGGCTAAAAACCGTTGCTTTTCCAACAAAAACATGAAAAAATTGAGCTAAAAGTCTTACCTGATGTATGTTTAAAATGTTTTTCTTTTTATGGTGTTTTTTCAGTGCTTTGAGTAGAGAGGTTAATAGCTTTTGGTTTTGTCACCACAATTTGCCTTTGAAAATGTCAGCTGTCATTGTCTGTGTTAAAAACACCTCAGAAAATTCCTATTTTCTCACCTTCCCATCCTTGGTTTATATTGAAAATAAATACATTCTAGTACCATATGTCCTTTTAAATATATTTTGAAGTAATTAAAAACTTGAAAGATGTACAAGCACTGTGTTTTGGCTTGCA